TGTCAGGGGACATAGGCAAGGACAGTGGCTGTTCTTTGGGGCAGAGACATTGTATGAGGTCATCATAGGAGGTGTTCAGATCTTTTGGGGCAAGACTGGGAGCCTCCTGGCTCTTTGGGCCCTGAAAGCAGAAGTAAGGCTAGTGACTAAGGCCAGTGAGATTTCAGCCACACGGGGTGGAACTTTCTGAGAGCACAGGAATTCTTGCCAGATGGCCAACAGCCCTTTCCAGGCGGACTGCCCTTTACAGTATATGATACTAACTTACACCGTCGTCTTTGATCTTCACCATGAGCCTGGAAACCCGGGCGAGGTAGCCTGTGGGGTTCCTTGCAGTTCTAGGCATCAGAGGTCCCACCTCTTAAGACTCTCCCTCCTCAGGCCAAATTCAGGCCGTACACATGCTTTTAGGCCCACGTAGTATTTTCTTTTTTTTTTTCAACGTTTATTTTATTTTTGGGACAGAGAGAGACAGAGCATGAACGGGGGAGGGGCAGAGAGAGAGGGAGACACAGAATCGGAAACAGGCTCCAGGCTCTGAGCCATTAGCCCAGAGCCCGACGCGGGGCTCGAACTCACGGACCGCGAGATCGTGACCTGGCTGAAGTCGGACGTTTAACCGACTGCGCCACCCAGGCACCCCCTCAGTATTTTATAACACTTTGACCAACATCAGGGCAACACCAGCATGGCAATGATCACTGAGGTCCAGAGGGAAATCGCCTGTACTCCAATGTGAATCCCGGCCCGACTCTCTTATTGCCCGCCCGCTGGAGCGCACGTGGGGTGGGGGACGCCTGAGGGGACTCACGTAGGCTCTGTACCTGGTGCAGGCACGGCCACGGAGCGGATTTGGGGACGGTCCCCATGCTTGGGGCTCACGCGCCCTGGAACGGGAGCAAGTGGGGCTGTCCTGGGACTCCCATCACCCTCCAGCCACCCATCCATCCATCCGTTAATCCATCAGATACTTCCTGGGTCCTTGCTTTATGCCAGTTCATGGGTCTGGAGGAGAGCGGACTTGGACAGAGAAGCTTCTGTTCTAGATCAGTGTGGGTGGTGCTTACGGCTGCCTCATCCATTCCCTCCCTCCCGCTCTCCCTCACTCACTCAAGCCCTGTGATTTTTAAGGCACCATAGCCGATGAACACCTGCTCTGCCCTCCTGTGGCTCAGGGACTAGCCTGGTATGAGCTGTGATGGGGATGCTGGTGGCCCACTGTGGCAGGGAGCGTGTGGGGGGGATTTGGCGTGAGTCACATGACCTCTCTGAGCGTCAGTGTCCTTGTCTGGAATAATACAAGCTTCCAGCAGGGCCGCTGTGGCAATCACGGGTGACTAGAGGCTGGTGCCCAGCTCAGGGAGAAGGCCCCCCTGTGATCCCCGATGCCCACACCCGGCCCCGCTGTCTCAGTCCCCTAGAAGTCACTCACTAACGGTAATGACCTTCCCTTCTGTCTTGTCTTTTTCCTCAGGCCTGCCAACCACAGGTAGGGGTTTGGGGGCTCGGGGCCTTGGGGCATGTGATTCTGGATCTGGGCTGGGGCCTGGGCACCCCGGTGCTTTGGCCTCATCGGCGGGTCCCTGCTCTGCCTCGCTTGGTTCTGGCCTGAGGTCTTACGCTTGTCGCGAGGTGCCTGGCTGAGCTGGTGTGCCCTGGGCTGGCCCTGGGCCTGGGGTGCCGCGGGCCCTGCAGGGCTTCCTCTGTGTCCTGGCAGGGGCCAGCTGGAGATCAGCAGCCTGGTGCCCCTGGGGCCCAAGTACGTGGTCAAGTGGAACACAGCACTGCCCCAGGTGCAGGTGGTGGAGGTGGGCCAGGATGGCAGCTCCTACGACAAGGACAACGTGCTCATCCAGCACGCTGGCACCAAGAAGGCCTCTGCCGCAGGCCAGGCCCAGAGTGAGTACCCGCCCCGCTGCTGCCCAGGCCTGGGGGCCCTGTCTGGGGACCCCAGAACGACGGCCACTCGGCCAAGAGGCCCTTGCTGGTTTGCACGCTGCATACCCACGACCCACCTGCGCATGTGCGTCCTGCAGGCACGTCCTGCTGCGCGAGGGATGGCTGCTGGTCCCCGCCCCTACCCCCTCCAGCACGTCTGTGCCCATTCGAGCACTCGTGCGCCGTGCCCGGCGGGACTTGTACCACTACCTGGCCACTGCCTGCCTCCTCCGGGACCTCGGCAGCTGTCCCTTCTCTTTGTGCCTCATTTTGCCACTCCGTGCGGGGAAGGGCCCAGGTGACACTCACTGAGGCCCCTACATCCTCAGGGACAGGCTCGGGGCCCAAGGAGATCGAGAACGCAGAGTGTGGCCGGCAGCCTCCCAGCCCCGCGCCCCCAGCCGTCTCCATGGTGGCTGCCGTCCCTCCCTGCACCTCTGTGCCCTTCCTGTCCGTCCTCCACCCACCCCCGGAGCTGGCTCTTGCGATGCAGATCCGATCTGTGTGTGTCCCCCTCTGCTCCCAACCCACCCGTGGCTTGTCATTGCTCTCAGGGTAAAGTCTCAGGTCCTCGTGGGCTCTGTGCACCCCTCCTTTGGGCTCCTGTCCACCCCGCCCTCCCTGGGCCAGCCACACCGGGCCTCTGGGTTCCTGAGGGGCAGAGACCCCTCCGGCCACAGGGCCTTCTCCCAGGCTCTGCCTGCAGAATCTTCTGCCGTTGTATTTTGGCCTAGTCTGCCCTTCTTCCTCTTAGCTCAGATAGCACCTCTGCAGAGAAGTCTTTTCTGATTCCCTTGGATGGGCAGGTCCCCTTGTCCCCTGCTCCCAGGGCCTGTTAATTTTTTTTTTTTAAATTTTTAAAATGTTTATTTGTTTTTGAGAGAGAGAGAGAGAGAGAGAGCGAGTGGGGAGGAACAGAGAGAGAGGGAGACAGAGTCCGAAGCGGGCTCCAGGCTCCGAGCTGTCAGCACAGAGCCTGACGTGGGGCTCGAACTCACAAACTGTGAGATGATGACCAGAGCCGACTGAGCCGCCCAGGCGCCCCTCTCGGGGCCCGGTTATATGGTCACCATCACTGGTGACGGTTCTGCTGCAGCCCTCGCCCCAGAGCCTGGTGTGCGATGGGGGTTAAGGGATGTTTGTCGAATGAGTGAAGGGGGCCTCGCTGCAGGGCGGGCAGAGAGGAACTGTGCCTGAGGCACCTTCCACAGGCAGGAGGCTGGTCGGCCAGACTCTGTCCCGCGCCTGACCCCAGAGGTGGCCTCACTGGGCTGCCAGCAATTCTGGAAACTTTGAGGGAGCGATGGCATCATGCGCTCTTGCCCTAGGAGGGCTGGGCTGCAGAGTCACGCCTGCTCCCAGATTTGTGCCTCTTCCCCTGGGTTTTGTGAGCAGGAAGGCTGTTTCGCGGTTCACAGAAGCCCCCGGCGAGGGGCTCATCGGCCCCATTTGTCTTCCTCTGAGGTGCCTTTACCCCAGCTTGACTCCGCCTTACCGCTACCGCTCTGGGGCCCCCCCCTTCGGTGACTTGTCCGTGGCCACATTTCTCAAACTAGAGTCATCCACGGCCAGACTCCCTGAAAGAGGGGGAAAAAAAAAAGAATTCTTGCTGAAGCCTCATCGGCCTCGACTGATTTTTTTTTATTACGTTGCTATTCAAATAGGTGCACATACAAGGCTAGCTCTAATAAGCTCCTTATGCTCGTATGTCCCTTGAACAACCATAAAGCCAAAACGAAATCACAAATGGAATAAAAATGAAGCCTCAAAACAGTGAAATTCAAATTAACAGCGTGAACGTGATGAATGATGTTGTTTTGCCGGAACCAAATCGCTCACGCCGTGGGCGTGGCCCTCTTCTGGGCCAGGTTCTTTTGGGTTTGTCCACACCTGCGCGCACCCCAGGGCATGTGGACGGTGACCCGCACTCCCCACCGGCTCACCCGTCCGGGCCGCTGGCGAGTCTGTTCTTGCCTCTCTTTTGGTGTGAGTGCGTTACCTCCCTCCCCTGCACACCTCGCTTCTGCTCCGTCCCTGCCTGACCACTCACTACCAGAGTCCACAGGAGCCCTGACCCCACGCAGCAAAATGCGGCTTGAAAGTCACGGTATCCGGGTGACTCAGGATGTGCATCTGGTCTTTTTTTTTTTTTTTTAATTTGTAAAAAATGTGTTTATTTATTGATTTTGAGAGAGAGTGGGAGAGGGGGGGGGGAGGCGAGCGAGCAGGCCACTGTCAGCATGAAACCCTGATCACGGGGGCTCACCAGAACCGTGGGATAGTGACCTGCTCGCCCGAGAAAGCAAGAGCGAGGCAACAACACGACTGAACACCGAGAGGCAGCCCGATGGATGTGCATCTGTTTTCTTTTTTTTTTTTTTTTTTAGCGTTTATTCACAGGATGCCAAGGAGAGACAGAGCATGAACAAGGGGTCAGAGAGAGAGAGGGCAGACACAGAATCTAAAACAGGCTCCAGGCTCTAGGCCATCAATGAAACCCAGCCAGCGAACTCCAGCGAGAACTTCCACCAGGACCCATGAATCGTGACCTGAGCGAGAAATTCGGTAAACAACGGCCCTTTGAGCCACCCAGGCGCCCCATGGATGTGCATCTGTTTTCTAGATAGTCCTCTAAACCCCCAGATAAGCCCTCCCCTGGGATTCCATAAGACCTCAGCTTGAGGAACCATGGCCTAGAGGCTACAGCCCACATTCCCTGTCTCCGCATTCAAGGATTTCCCCACGTGGCCCCAGTACTTACCACGTGTGTGTGATCACCAGAGGTCTGGACACCCTCACCGTCCCCGCGCCCTGATGTCTTTCTCCCTAGTGCCTTCCATCATTGTTCTTAATTGCTGTTAATTGGCTGCTGCCCCTGTCCCCCGTCACTTGGTTCATAAGCTCCACGAGAGCAGGGACCCTATCTGTCTGCTTTGCAGCTACGTCACCAACACCTGCAAGAGAATCTGGCACCCAGTAGGTCCCTGGCACATCTTTGAACAACTTGCCTTTTCTGGGTTTCCTCCAGCCACAGTGCCTTTGTACGTGCCGTTCTCCTTTCTGGCTGTGCCCGTCGCATCCCCAGCCCCGTGAAGGTTCCTCACCGCTTGCAGGCACAGTTGGGTCTCGATCTTCTGGCCTCCTGTGACCCTTTGAGTGTGGCCCAGACCCTAGGTGCTAAACCACCTGTGGTGACACTTGTCCCCCTAGTAGACTAGGGGCTCCACCGGGGCAAGAGCCTGGTAATGCTTCCTTCTGTGTCTCTAGCGCCATATCTCCGGGGCGACAGGTCTTCTCCTGTGCGGTGAGTGGACGCTTGGGTCCTTGTTGGCACCTTCTCCACCCCTGAAGTTGAGTTGGGTCTCTTCTCCGTCCAGATAAGGTGTATTTCGGCCCCCCGCGCCTCTTCCAGGAGCTGCAGGATCTGCAGAAGGACCTGGCTGTTGTAGAGCAGATAACCTTCCTCATCAGCACGCTGCACGGCACCTACCAGGTACGCAGCACTGGCCCGGCTTCGTTGGGCTCTGGGCAGCGCCCAGACTCAGCAGGCAAAGTGGGAGAGGGCTCCTGTCTTAGCCCAGGCCCCAGGCATGCTCCTGGCTTCCGAATTCCCACAGTCAGCACGAGTGGCCAAAGCTCCCCGTGGCTCCCTGGAGGTCTGGTGTGCGGCCTCTGGTTTGGGTGGAGGTTCTGATTCGGATTGAGTGGGGGCTGGCTGCGTGGTGACGTTTTTCTTCTCTGCACGATGACTAGTCCATCTAGCAGCCCCTTCCTGGACCTCAGCCCGGGCTGGAGAAGAAGCCGGCTGGGAGGTCATGTCCCTCTCAAAGGAGGGGTGCCAGGTGGGGTCTGAACCCCGGGCTGGGGGAGCTTACTCGGGGTCTGCAGCGGGGAGCCGGTCACCCGCTATGGCTGAGCGGGTGGCCCCTGTCGAGCTCTCGGACCTCCCGGCTCCTGTCCCTCTGGGCACCCTGAATGCTGCAGGGTCCTGTGTGGCTTTTGGGGAGCCGGCCGGCTGTGTGGTGACCTCGCTGGCCTCCTCAACCCTAGAACCTGAACATGACCGTGGCTCAAGACTGGTGCCTGGCCCTGCAGAGGCTAATGCGGGTGAAGGAGGAGGAGATCCACTCGGCCAACAAGTGCCGTCTCAGGCTCCTGCTTCCTGGAAAACCTGACAAGTGAGATGGGGAGTGGACAGCGCTGAAAGGGGGGTGCTCCCGAGAGGTGGCACCTGGAGCCGATCTGCTTATCAGGGTGGTGACGGGTGACGGGTTTGTGCACACCGTGGGCCCTGCCCAGCACAGCATTTGGCGCGGAGTGGGTGCTCCTTGTGGAATGAACGCACGAACGAACGAATGAATGACGGATTCATACTTGGGCCCGTCCTCTGCTAGGAGACTGAGGACTCAGACCCTCTGCTGTCGGTTGGCTCTGTTTGTGCGGTGACCTTGTCACTCACTTCAGACTGTGCAGAGCCCCGGGACCGGGCCCTGGGTCTCCTCTTGGACCGAGGCTGGGTCTCCGGCCTCCCCCCAGATGCCCACACAGGCGCTGGGGTTCCCTAGACCCTCCGCTGATGTTTGTGGAATTGATGACAGATCTAGCAGAGGTGAGGAAAGGTATCTGAGCCCCATTTTGCAGATGAGGGTGGCGAGGCCCAAAGAGCTGTTGGATCGCCCCATGGCCACAGAGTAGGCGGTTGAGCCAGGTTCTGACGGGCTCTGGCTCTGAAGCCTGGGCTGGCACAATGAGGGGCCCACGGCCTGCGTTTGACCTCGAGGATGAGGGGACGGTGGGGGACAGAGGGTTCCAAGCACACTGGCTGCATGGAGAGGGAGCACTGTCGTTCGAGGGAGGGCCACCAGCCCGGGAGCCCAGGAGACGAGGCTCCAGGCTAGGGTCTCAGAGGCAGAGAGGCAGGGCCCTGAGCCGTAATCCCAATCTGCCACGCCCCTGCTGAGTGGCCTCTCGCAGCCCCTTCCTGCCCCCGCACCCCTTTCTCTGTGCGGAGTTGGTGACACTAGCCTTGCCTGCCTCCCGGGATGGCTCCTGGCGGAGAGCCTGCCCCAGAGGACTCTGAGGGCGCTGCTCCAAGGTGAGGGGACAGTGTTGTGACAACAGCGGCCCCTAGCTGCCCAAGCCTGGGCACAACCTCATTCATTCCCGGCTTCATTCACTCGTGCGTCCATTCCACAAATGTCTGCTGGATACCTACACTGTGCCCGGTCCTGGGAGTCCGAGAGGGCCCTTTCCTGCCTGCACGGGCTCCCGGTCGGACATGCTCGTGTGTCTGACAGGCCCGTGGAGAGCTGACCGGGGAGCCCGGGCAGGGCAGGTGCCGGAGGCTGGGCTGCGGAACGCGGCCTGATCACTTTGGGGAGGGACCTCCATTCTGGGGCCACGGTGGGTGGAGGGACCCCTCCCCCAGGAGACCTCGGCTTTGCCGGCCGCCAGCCTTTCTGGCCACCCTTCGGTGCTCCGAGCAGAGTCAGTGCCGCTGCGAGTGCGCGTGGTCGAGGGAAGAGCTGGGTGCTCGCTGTGGACACTCACTCACGCTTGTCACCCTCTTGCCGCAGATCTGGCCGCCCCATCAGCTTCATGGTGGTCTTCATCACCCCCAACCCCCTGAGCAAGATCTCCTGGGTCAACAGGTTGCACCTGGCCAAGATTGGACTCCGTGAGTAAAGGCCCGGGGAAAGGGCCCAGGAGACAGGAATGCGGAGCCGGGAGGCCTGGGTGTGTGTGCGTGTGTGTGTGCGTGTGCGCGTGCACGTGGGGGCGGGGGGCTTCTGAGTTGGAGGGAGGTCGTGCGGTGGAGAAATACCGGAGCCAGTTCTGAGCGCTGAGGCTTTGCCTCGTAACCCTGGACAAGCCACTGCTCCTCTCTGAGCCTCAGTTTCCCCATCTATCAAGTGATGGCAGTTCACCATATAAATGACCTCGGGGAGGGCGGTTGGAACGTGGCTGCTGAGGGGGTTTCTTTTGGTGGGGGGGGGGGGGGGTGACGAAAGTGTTCTAGAAATAGGTAGTGGTGATGGTCGCTCCACTCAGAACGTGCTAGAAACCAGTGACGTCAACGCTAGAGAAGGGCGGTTTCGTGGCCACCCCCTTCTGTGTCAGTAAAGCTGCTACCAAAAGAAAAACGCCACACGGTGCGGGTGAGATTAAACTGATTCTCAAACAGGACCTCCTTGTGATCTCTTTCTCTTACTCCCCCTGCGATAATCACGTAGGTAAATACCAGACATGTGTGGACAGCGTTTCCTCTGGGGCATTTTTCTGCGCATTTTACACACATCTCTTTCATTTCACACTGACGATGACCCTAGGAGGCAAGTCTGTCGTGATCCCCCTTTTACTGGAGAGGGTTCTGAGGCCCAGAGAGGGCCAGTGACTTCCCCGAGCTCACCTAGAAGGAAGGGGCTGAGCTGGGGTTCAGACCCTGTGCCCTCGGCCCCCAGAGCCCAGTCTGGACCGTTGTCTCTCTGCCTTCTCACGTTGGAGAGTTTCTGTCTGCAAAACACATCTGTTAAGTTGTCATTACTTTCTTTGTCCTCGTTTTGAATTGACAAAAGGCCTGGGTCCTTGTCATTCAGCACTGCCATATCCTGTGACGCACTAGCATTCCTATTTGCTGCCTCCGGCCGGTGGCAGGGACATTTTTGTTGTTGTTGTTTGCTTTTTCATTGTTGGTTGTCGTTTCTAGTGATCTTTTTCTAGGCTTTGAAACATTTCTGGGAAGAGGTTAGGACCTTTGTCACTGGCTTTCATCAATTCAAAAATCTTGAGTGAGTCTTTACTGTGAGTTTAGGCCTGGGGGGAAAGAGCGGTGACGAAAACTGAAAGATCTCTGCTGTCAAGGAAACTATAATTTATGAGGGGCAGACAGATATTACACGAGGGGCAAATCAACAGGGGGAGGCGGTGCTGTTTAGGGGACACAGCTGGGCGGCATGACGGTCACCGAGCCTGGGGGCCAGGGCTGCCGTCAGGGAGGGCCTCTGAGGAGGCGACATCTGAAGCCGAAGCAGTCTAGGCTTCAGAAGAGCAAGTGCAAAGGTCCTGTGGTGACCAGAGCTGATGAGTGATGGGGAGAGAAGCAGGCAGGTGGAAGAAGGGGCCGCATTTCCAGAACACCAGGGCCAGGTGCGTGGAACTTAAACTCTGGATGGGACGGGCGGCTGTTCCTCATGGCAGTGAGAGCTGGACAGCCCCCTGAACTGGGTTCCACTTGAGTGGATCACTCTGCCTGCTGGGCCCAGAGGGCATGTGGAGGCGGGAGGGAATGGGGAGGAGATGGTTGCGCTGGGGGAGCCAGTCCCTTCTTGGACCTGTTGCTGATGCGGCACAGGCCTCCGCTGGATGTTTCTGGGTGACCAGGAGGGCTGCGGAGGGAGGAGAGAGGATTTCAAGCAGAGCCAGCCCCGCTGTGGGAGCGCTCGCCCCAGGAAGGCTGACGTGACTCCCCCGCAGGCCCGCGGAGCACTTTGGGAGCACTTTGGTCTCGGGCGCGCCTGAGCCGATTTTACACCTGCTCTAAAGGCGGGTCAGTCTCCTGCTGCTTTGCTGAGTGGGGCTTGGGCTTTGGCGTTGGAGGGAGACGGGCTGAACGGGGTGAGCCTCTCCTTTCTCGGCTGCCTGTGACGCTCAGCCGCTTTATACTCCACGCGGTTTCACTGCAGCAAAAGTTTTAATGGAAGGAGAGTCATTTGAAATCTTATTTGAAAGCCTGGGTTCCCCTGGGGCTTGAATAATTTGTTCCTTTTATTTTGCCAGTTTTTTTTT